GTTGGCTGAGGTGACTTCGTGGGACCTGCCCCCGTTGACTGACCGCTACCGCAGGGCCTGCCAGAGCCTGGGGCAAGGTAAGGGCCAGGAGAGCTGCAGTTTCTGGGTGAGGCCGTGCGAGGAGGCTGGGCACACAGGCTCTGCCAGCCCAGTTCATGCCTAGGCCTCAGGCGTTTCGGCACAGCCTCCTCAGCCCGAGTGATCTGTGGACGGGGAGATGGCAAAAAGCAGCCAAAAGCCTCGAAAATCAAGCCAAGGAGGGAAGCCTCACAAGGGCTGGGAGCTGCCTGGGAAGCTTCCCAGAAAGCTTGTCTGGGGGCAGTGGACTCTGGCAGTGACGAGCTTAGGGTGCTGCAGACCCACCTCCGCCCCCAGGGGCCCACAGTGCTAGGTCCACAGGCATGTCTGAGTGGGCTCTGCAGTGTGTGCAGTGGATGGCGCCCGGGGCTAGTGAAAAGGGGCCAGCTGGTTTGCCCTGTGGGATTCAGAGGGCAGAAAGGGCTGGCCCTGCCCTGGTGACAGCACATCCTCCTGTCAGGGGAGCACCAACAGCTGCTTCAGGCCGTGGAGCTACAGGGCTTGGGCCCCTCGTTCAGCGCCTGCTCCCTGGCCCTGCACCAGGCCCAGCTCACACCGCTGCTACGGGCCCTCAAGCTGCACACAGCACTCCGGGAGCTGCGCCTGGCAGGGAACCGGCTGGGGGACAAGTGCGTGGCTGAGCTGCTGGGTGCCCTGGGCACCATGCCCAGCCTGGCCCTCCTGGACCTCTCCTCCAATCATCTGGGCCCCGAAGGCCTGCGCCAGCTTGCCATGGGGCTGCCAGACCAAGCCACCTTGCAGGTAGAGGCACGGGAAGCAGTGGGCCCTCAATGGCAGGGTGTCGGGGTTCCCATTCTGTAGGTCCCTGGGTGGTCTGGAGCAGCTGGGAGAGCTGGCCAATGCCCGGCTGCAATAGGCTATGCCAGGCAAGGTGGGGAAAAGACTGCCAAGCCCAGCCCCAAGGGGGACCTCGTCTGCGGGACTGCTGTGGACTCACTGCCAGCCTGTCTTCCACAGAATTTGGAGGAGCTGGACTTAAGCATGAACCCCCTGGGGGATGGCTGTGGACAGGCCCTGGCCTCCCTCCTACGTGCCTGCCCCTTACTCAGCACCCTGCGCCTGCAGGCCTGTGGCTTTGGCCCCAGCTTCTTCTTAAGCCACCAGATAGCCTTGGGCAGTGCCTTCCAAGGTGAGCTGACCAGGCACTCCCTGTCTACTCCCTAGCCCCCGGGCTTTGAGGGTTTCAGAGGACCTTCAGAGGGGGCCTGGGCCAGGCACAGGGACAACACCTGTGGTCCCAGCTACTTGGGAGGCTGAGGCAGGAGGATCGCTTGCTAGGAGTTCCAGGACAGCCTGGCCAGCATAGTGAGACCCCATCCCTTAAAAAAAAGAGTTTAGGGGCCTGGGTCGCCAGACTTGGCTCTCCAGGAGGGGCTGCCTTCTGGGAACAATAGATGGATGTGTGGGGGCCAGGTCTGCCTGGCTTCGGAGGGCATCTGGTGCCCACCCAGACAGGCTGACACCCCAGGACACACCAAGAGCAGAGTCCAGGCAGCTCAGTGTCCAGTGCCCCCCAGCCTGTGCTTGCCAGCTGAGTGCTGTTCACCTGAGGCAGTTCTACCATGAGCCCACCCAGGCTGCAGAGACTGGGGTCCCAGTGCTGAGAGTCTGGGAATTGGGTGTCATCCACGGGTGGGGGAGCCTAAGGGGGGCAGCAGTGGTCAGTGCGCTTCCTGGACACCCCCACTGTGCATAGGCATCTGGCCCAGGACTGTGTGGTTGTGGAGTAGGAGGTATACAGAACTGGGGAACAGCTAAGCTTGGAAGTTTGGCTGCGCCCTCCTCGGCTGGGAGAATCTGGGCAAGAGCCTTTGCCTCTGCACCTGCTACCACATCCCACCCCACAAATCCTGTGGTAGTGGTTTCCCCAAGGCGGTCCTGAGGGTTCTAGGCCCAGAACTCGGTGTGGGTACAGGGTTGTGGCCACGTGGGGCTGACAGGTTCTGGCCCCGGTGCAGATGCTGAGTGCCTGAAGACCCTGTCTCTGTCCTATAACGCCCTGGGAGTCCCCGCCCTGGGCAGGACCCTGCAGAGCCTGCCTGCCCGCACCCTCCTGCACCTAGAGCTCAGCTCTGTGGCAGCCAGCAAGGGCGACTCAGGCCTCATGGAGCCCATAGTCCGATATCTGGCCAAGGTACGAGGTAGGGAAGGGCCCATAAAATACTGAGCCTCAGAGGCCAAAGGTCCCAAGGCTGAGGCCCCAGGGGAGCTGGGAGGAGTTCACCTCTCCCCAGATTCCAGCTATACTTACTGAGGGGCTCTCAGAGAGGGTTAGAGGTTTGGAGGTTTAGAAAAAACGGCTGGAGGGATACTTTTGCACAGCTGCCTGTCTCAGGCTGTGAAATCCTGACCACCAGAAAGGACCTGGGACCCAGGGTGTGGTCTTGCCCTCCCCAAGGCAGGTCTCAAGGGGCACACTGGGGGCCCTGCGTGCTCTCTCCTGGGGGGTCTTCCAGACACAACTGGGTCTCTTATTTTCACACCACCACCTGCAGAGTGTGACCCACATGAGGAGAGGTGTTTCTTTCCAATCTCCAAATTAGTGGGGGACTCTGGGCCCCTGGGTGTGGGGGTATCTGCTGGGAAGCAGGGAGAGCAGGTGTGCCATTCAGTCTGGCCCCTGTGGGCCTCTGCTTATGTCCAGGAAGGCTGTGCTTTAGCCCACCTGACCCTGTCTGCTAACCACCTGGGAGACAAGGCTGTCAGAGAACTGTGCAGGTAACACCCTTGCCCTGCTGCCTGCTGGCCTAGGGGTCTGATCTCATGGCTCAGGACCCCAGGGGAGCTGGGCTACAGGAGAAGGGCCACAGAAATGGTACCAGCTCCTCCTTCCCAGTGCACCCCAAGACCTGGCTCCTTCAGCTTCCACGAGCCTCTCAGGCTGCCCTGGAAGGCACGCTACCCTCAGGCTTCTTAGCCTGGGCCTGTAGCTCTTGAGAGTGCCTCTGGGTGTGTCTTTCCTAGTCACTCCTGTGCATCAGCCCACACAAGGGCCGCTGCTCTTATGATCTGGAGCCTCAGTCAGCTTTGGGGTGTCGAGAGGAGCCCAAGCTGGGCCAGGCACATGCAGAACTGGCCACTGCGGCCCTGACCCCGGGGCCACCAGGGGACTCACCAACCCTAAAGCAGCACCTGCTGTTGTGCCAGGGTGGGGCAGAATCCCTGGGCCTGGTCCGAGGCTCCCTGAGTCTGGGCAGCTTTCCTAGTGTAGGGGCACGGCCTCTCTGGAAGCCAACCTTTGCGTTTCTTCCCATGTTATCTCAGATGTCTCTCTCTGTGCCCCTCACTCATCTCGCTGGATCTGTCTGCCAACCCTGAGATCAGCTGTGCCAGTCTGGAAGAGCTCCTGTCTGCCCTCCAGAAACGCCCCCAAGGCCTTAGCTTCCTTAGCTTGTCAGGTGAGGGCATGCCATGTTCAGCCTTTTCAGGGACCCACTGAGTCACAGGAGCCTCCTCCTAAGGGGCTGCCACTGCTACCAGCCAAGCAGCAAGGCTGGGCTCCATGAGGCTGAGGCAGCAGGGGGCAAAGTGACAGTGAGAGAAAGGGGAAGGGGGCATGAGCCCAGCTCCTAAAACCATGGGGTGGAGGACGAGGTGGGTCTCTACCTCTGGTCTCTCCAACCCAGCCTTCAGAGCAGACTATGGCAGGCAAGACCCCCTTCCACAAGGACTTTCTCATTCTCCGTGGCAAGAAGAGGGAGCCCAAGGTCAGAGTGTTGAAAGCTGCCACCAAGGGACCCTCCCACTTCCTGGCAGGTGCTTCTCTGACCATAATCCTGCCCAGTCTGTGGCCGGATTTAGCTTGCTCTCTTGAGCCAGCCACATCAGGGCAGTCCCCAACCTGAGCTGTGTGGAGGACAACCCCAGGAGAGAGGTGCTTTGATGACCTGGCCAACCAGCAGTCTGGCATAGCCAGCTGGGGCCAGGGCAGGCCCTGCCTTCCAGGGGATGAGGGCTGGAAGTGGGAATACACAAGGGGCGCTCTGCGTTCTTCCTGCACGCCCCCCTTGACCCCCAGGGCCAGGCTGCCTTTTCCCGGAAGGCACCCAAGTGCTGGTGGGAGACCTGCATTCCACTAGGGCTGCTCCCCACACCTCGGTTCCTGGCTCTGTGCCTTCCCACCTGGCTCCCTGAATTACTGAGCTTAGTGTCCTCTTCAGCCACTCAAGTCTACGATGTACAGATTTGCAAGCAGCCCCATATGCCCTCCTTATGGGTGGGAAACTGAGGTGTAGACATGGACTTTTGAGATCGAGCACTGTCAGAGGGAGAAAAGGGAGCCACCCTTCCTCCGGCCTGACCGCTGGCCGTGCAGAAGAGCCCACTCCTTCCTGGTGTCCTGAGGCCTCCTGGGCTCTGCACACTGCCCCTCGCTGCAGCACTGGGGCTCTCTGGGAAAGCGAGTTTGTTTCCGGGGGCCTGCCGTGGGCACCGGGACGCCGCTGGCCCCCGCAGCGCTGACTCCTGCCCTCTGACCCTCCGCAGGCTGCGCCGTGCAGGGCCCCTTGGGCCTGGGCCTGTGGGACAAGGTCGCCGGGCAGCTCCGGGAGCTGCAGCTGTGCAGCAGACGCCTCTGCGCGGAGGACCGGGACGCCCTGAGTCAGCTGCGGCCCAGCCGGCCAAGCCCTGGCGAGTGCACGCTGAACCATGGTTCCAAGCTCTTCTTCCGGCGCCTGTGACCGCCGCCTGTCCCCGCCCCCACCGAAGCCCCTAATAAATGAAGCTGCTGTCTCCATCTCCATGGCTGCTTGGCAGGTGGGTGGGCGGGGTGAGACCACGCTTCGCGTCTACTGCGCGGGTTCGATCCCGGGGCGGCGCGGCTGGGGGCGTGGCCGGAAGCCCGGGTGGGCGCAGGCGTAAGGGCTGAGCGCCGAGCTGCCGATGGGGGCGGTCGCCCCGACGCGCGCAGGCGCAGACGTGAGGGACGAGCGCCGAGCTGCTGATCGAGAGCGCCCCTCCCCCGGCGCCATCTCCCGGACCGCGAGCCGTCCAGGTACCGGGGCCCGGCCGGGGGGCGGGGAAGGTGCCGGATGGGGAGAGGCGACCCCGGGCCGCGGTTGAGCCAGCGCCGCAAAAGTCACGTTATTGGCACGTTCTAGAAACTGGGTTTCCTTGCTCGTTGTCCAGGCTGAGGTGGTTTTGCGCCTTCGCCGGTGGCCGCGGGTGTCCGCGCTCGCTGCGGGTTGGGGCGCTCGGCCCCTCGGCCCGCTCCTGCCCGGCGGCCCCGCGATGGCTGCCGAGCCTCTGCCCACCCCGCGGCTCTTCCGCGGTCGGAGCCGCCTTCCCTCCGTCTGCCCTCCTCCCAGCCACTCCCAGGGAGCCGGCGCCGCTGCGCGCCCGGGCCTCCGCCGGGAGCTGCCTCCCCTGCCGGGCGTCGGAACCCTGCGCCCGCCCGCCTGCCCCTCCTCCCTTCTGCGTTCGAGTTTACCTTCCTGTCCCGACCTGTTGGGGTCGTTCTAACACCTTTATTATTTTTATTTTTTTTTTTTTTTGAGACGGAGTTTCACTCTT